TTGAGATGACAGAGTTCTGATATGCCTTTGTTTGTTGTGGCATAGCATTCCTCTATATTGAGCACCAAAAGGTTCTTTAGGTTGTGACAGATAGCTATGAGAGAAGGATCACCAATGCCTGAACATTGACTTAAATCTAATTCAGTTAGACTCTGTTGGTACTCTGTGAGTCTGAGTATGCCTGCATTGTTCAGCTGTTGGCAAGACTGAAGATGTAGTCTTTCAAGATGTAGTTCTGGTACTTCTGCTAGTTGTGACAATGCTGCATCATCAATGTCCGTGAAACCAAACCTCAACTTGCTAATCTTCCGTGCTTTTGACACAATGTGTTGTAATATATTAACGTATGTCAGAACACTATCTGATGCCATTGTGTGGCCAGAGTCTAACATGTTACCAGGGTAATATTCCTTACACAGCTCAAAATCGAAACAGATCAGACATCTTGTCAATGACAGATCTTCCAAATTGGAAGTAATTTCCATAAATCTATTGAAAAGGGCATCTGACAAATCTAAACTTAAATCAAGTCTTAGCTCTCTAAGTTTGACAAGAGTGTTACTAAGCAGATTAACATCAGCTTTTTGCTCCAGAACCCTTCCTGTCTTTAAAAGTTTATAACACCCACTCACATTGAGAGTTTCTAAATGTGAGCACTTTAATAAAATATCTACAAAGGTCTTTTCTGATATATCACAACTATCTATGGAAAGAGACTGCATTTGTGGACAGAATCTATCCCAAAATTCAGTTAATATTTCTCCTAGTTTTACGTTTTTGAACACAAAATGCGGAAATGTTCCAAGACTATTTTCGAAGACTTGTAGTGGTCTAGTGAGGTCATCTTGCAATACCACTACTTCATTACTATGCAGTTTGTGGTATTTTGATGCATTATGCCACAAATGGCACACTTGCGAGGCATTTATTCTGTCTGACAAAGGCAGGAACTCCAGAATGTATATTATAATCTGGAATATGATAACAGTTTAAAATTTAACAATGACAACAAGGCAATGAAAAAACATTTGTCTTAGTAGAATGTTTTAAAGAGGTGACCACATAAGCTTCAACTTTTAAAAACGAAAAATTAAAGCACACGTCACAATAAGAGATTCAAGATCATACACTACATAATCTTATGCATAACTGATTAGATGCCACTGCAGATGTTGAGAATCCTTACCTCAATGGGAAGTTCAACAAATTCATCGATTTCAGTACTTCGATGTCTACTTTCACTTGAGATCTTTATGACGGACTCCATGTCAGAATGATGTGTGTGTGTGTGTAATGTCAGCAATTAATAAATTTGAAATGAATACTTTTTCAAGACCTTCAACAGACTCTCTTCAAAGTACCAGCTGTTTTATCTAATTGCATATTATATCATGAGATGGCATGGTTAATGCGATGATGCAAACTCTTACCGCTAGATGTCTCGTACATGAGATACTGATGAAAGTGTGAGTTTGGTGTTCTGATTCGCAGGTTGTGAATATCTTTCGGGCCTCTCCTCAACGATGTTGGTATGTGCGTCCGCGTATTACTCACTTCTGTGCAATCCTTCGGGTGAAAAGAACTTCCTACCAACTGGAAAAGTGTTCACAGACTGACTGACTCCGAGCTGTCTAGCAAAACAGCTGACCCTTATTACGCGTCATGCCACTTCAAAAATTGCCTGGACGACTACAACGAAACATCCTTTACAGTTTAAAAATAGTCAAGAAATAAATGGACACTTTGAGTTATTTTTCAGTTTTATCCGCCCTGTTTTCATTTCAACTATACATAACATTAAACATCTCAGTTTTTAAATTCCACGTGGTTCTGGACGAAATTCAATCAAACAAAAACATGTCAAAGAAACGTCAGTGACAGTTAATTTGCATCAAACTAATATGTGTAATCTGCTCATATTAATGCTGTTTTTGAGTGGTCGTTTAACTGAAAATAGCAGAAAAACAAATGGTTGTGAGAGCTATGATAGTGTTTGTGGTTAGAGTTTACATACGATGCACTCATTGTTTTGTTCATGTTACGGTTATTGTTTATGAAAGAACGGGGAATATTTGACTGTCGCTGTTTGGTGCGCAGGAGCGAACTGTGAGTTTGTGACATTTGAACATATATTTCGTCATTCAGGTATTGGTTTTCATTCGCCGTCATGCTCGTTACACTGTGACATTCAAACATGCTAATATTTTTTCACTAGACAACAGTTGGTTGTATTCCTAAGATCATAAAGTCACAGAAGATGTGTGAGTGTAAACGTCACTGCTTTGGTTTCGGACTGAAGTTTTGTACACAGCACTGGATGTCATCTTCCATGTTGTTGTTCTGGGTGTGACCTCGTGTAGACTCGTAGTTCAAGGTTGGAGACCTCTATGTATTCAAACAAATAACATCTCCACATTTATCAGATTGGAGTTTGTGAGATCTGCTATTTGTATTCCAAGATTTGTTTTGTTTAAATATCTAATGGCCGACAGTGGAATTAAACCAACAACCTGCTGAATTTCCATGGGCTCGTGGTTCAGGGATTTTTCGAATACTGAATGAGTTTCATGACCATTCGAATTTACATCTTTAAATTTCTATTTATAAACATACACTTATTTATTAATTCCTCGTGCATAAACTTACGTTTCGGTGAAGGCCTGTTCTTTTACACTTACTCGATGGAGCCGAGTCATTTCTGAGAAGTCAGCGTTCGCTCAGCCACTGAAGAAGTTCCCCAATATTTTATGGAACCCAAAGGCTCATTACCGTGTTCACAAGAGCCCGCCACTGGTCCCTATTCTGGGCCAGATGAATCCAGTCCATAACACCGCATCCTATTATTTAAGATTCATTTTAATATTATCCTCCCACCTACGCCCAGGTGTTCCAAACGGTTCGTCCAAGTCCGAGGTCATGTGTAAAATTTCGTAACAATTTATTAATTTTACGGGGAAGAATTGTTAGCCCACGCCCAACCCCCAAGCTGGAGGCACAATCCATGTCGGCTGTCCCCGAATGCTTATTGAATATATTCGAAGTTGCCCTCCATATCTGGAGGAGCGTTAGTAGTAGCAACGCAGATATTAAAGAGAAACGAGATATTTTGTTTGTTGGGCCATGAATTCTGTTAGTGCTAGATGGTTCTCATTTTTAGAACTTTAATTACTCGAAGGTAAGTTAGTTGAGACTTGTATCGACCGAGCAGGTGTAGCACGCGGGAAAAGCTCACAGTACAGAAATGTTACCTTCAAATTTAGTGGACTCGAGAGAGGAAGGGGGAGGGGGTGTGTGGTTGGGAGTGGTGTGAGAGAATCGCAATCACAACTTAATTGCTCGACCAATCACGTTCGCTGTTAGGACGACACCACCCCAATAGAAAACGTAAAATATTTATTATGTAACGTTTGTATTACACTCGTCCACAGTTCTAATTGCTTTGTGTCAGTTTTTGTTAAAAGACGCGTTGTTGCTGGCCGGGATTGAAATGTCGACGATGTTTTCTGCTTAAAGACTTGCAGATGTGCAGGCCCCAGCAGCGGCCTCTGTCTGATATTTTCATTGCCTGACTCGCAGTCGGTCTTATCGTGCGAAAGACCACACCCAAGTTAAAATCCATGCAATAATATTTTAAAAACGTCTAATTAAAGGTTTAGTTGCACATTCCTCTAGTTCGCAAACTTGGCTTGTTCTGCGCAGACAGAACTGCGCTGGCGTTACAAAAGCCTGAGGTCGCAAATCAGCGTTTTGCGTGGCATACCACGAGTACCTGATCAAGTTTCGAAATCGAGGGGATTAAAACTGATAATGTATAAATGAATGCATTTTCAGTACCTCTACTATGCGTAAACAACAATAGTTAAGCTTCTAGCTCATCGGAGACTAATCTTTCACTGCCCTCTCAGCTCCTGGCCTACGCCCTCCGCTGCAATGTACCGGTGAATGCCGCGCATCTGTCATGCGCATGCGATGTGGCGCGAATTTTAAATATACATACCAAATTTGAGCAATTTTTTCGCACCCTTGCACAGCGCATCAGCAGCTGAAATTTTGTGTACATTCATTACTACATGGGCTCTGTAGATAAGAAAAATTTCAGGTGAGGTTTCGGCATGACCAACCTAACCATTCCCTTATAAGACCCAGAAGAAAACCATCTTCCAGCCAACCGTCGTATTTAGACAGTCGGCAGGCGCTGTGTCTGTTTCAGAGTCTGGATCTTCAGCTGAAGACATGATACCACCCACAACAGGAGGGGAATGTTCCCCAGTTCAAACCGCCACTGGATCGTCATCTTCAACACCACCTTCACTTATCCAACATTCTGATACCGACGTTGCTACCAACAGTAATCACAAAGGCAAGAACCGATTTCAGTGTGTCACACTGCGAATTGCATATTGCCTTTAAACATTTTCCCGAAAAGATGTATTCACACATTCAATGAATGAAATTAAGACATTTTAATAAACTAAACCTTCCGCTGTTTTGTGTATCAGAATAATTGGAGAGACATGGCGATGCCATCTGTTAAGTGTAGACCACATTAGATTCCCCTCATAATCACAACACACGAATATAGACGATGATGTTACTATTCCGTGTTACAATGTATATAGGGCAGCCCAGGGTATCGGCTTTATTTCGTCTGGAATGCGTTGCGATCTACCGGGACCGGGTGAAATACCATTAGCACACAGCACAGGGTCATGTCTTGTCAGTCAGCGCCATTTTGTGATTACAGTTTCTGAAATAATCACCCATGCTGGATTTTGCTTCTATATTTTACAAATTTTTCTCAACTTCCAGTGAAGGTAAGACCTATTCATTATTCATATCCACTTTGTTGAATGATGCATGTTATCTACCTTTCCATTCAAATTGTAATGACGTTTTTTCCTCAGAGGAGAAAGAGCCATCATCAACATCTGTGAACATGCATTTTATATGAGTCCAAATTTTGACCTTTATATAAAATGACGAAAATAATTCTCTGATTCATATTTGAATGGATTAGACATCTTAATGCTTAAACTCTATCTAAATATTGTAGATCTAAATTAGGATGCTTTAATTATGGGTTGTAGCACTGTACAGTCTTGGTAGAATTTTACTGATGTTTCAGAGGTCCTTGCTACCTCCAGATGGAGGCAGCAAGCACTTGTGACTGAAATCTCACACACATGAATTCAGTTTCTGAAGTAAATTTCAGTAAAGCTCATCTGTATTAATCTTCTCCAAGTGAAGTTTCTCTTCCTATCAAATGACAATTGTAATTGTTTAATATTATGTTCTTTTCATCCTTTCTGAATCATTTAACTTGGAATAATCTTACTTGTAAACACTGTCTTGAAATTGTAGTTTATTTTACTGCAAAGAGTTAAAGCTAACTTAACTAACTTAAGCATTGAATTCTAGATCAGTTTCCAAAATGACCAATAAAAATTAACATCCTATATACATATCATTTGAGTAAAAAGCTTTACATTTATCAGTAACAAAAATGTATTACAAAATCAAGCAAGTTTCATTTGGTAGCCTGACATAAAATCACAAATCACAGGTTGTACTTTGTGCATTATTTTATGGCTTTAACATTTTATATGTATATTTATGTGTGTGTTCATGTGCATCCCCCCCCACACACGGTGGAAACGTGATTGGTAAGACGAATTAATTATGTTTGTAGCTACCACATGATAGTCCATAAACTCACATATTTTAAAACACCTACTCGTTACAAAGTGATAAATTATTTAACATGTTGCCAAACTGTGATCATACTGAAATGGGACAGGGAAATTTATCTTTACCTTTATAGCAAGGCCATGAAAAATTAAGTTCGTGGGTTGCATACATCCTCCTCTGCATGCAACCCATGTGTTCAACATTAATTTTAAATTTAATTAAAACATAGAGAAGAAATTAGCTGAATTAAATATTCTTGAAAATACAGCTGTACTGGATGCAAAATATCTGCAAGCATGAGCTGTCACAGTAAGAGGGGAAAGGTCAAGGAGGCAGCAAAATGCCTTACATGTTACTGCTTGCCCTCCCTCCCCATAACTCAGCTGGCTAGAAACTTACACGTCAATTTCTAACAATTGAAAACTCAGAGTCTCTTTAAAGCCAAGCTAATTAACTAATTCAGATATGTTAACAACTTGTGCTCACATCATGCTTGACAGAATTGTGTTTCCAGCACTGAACTATATTGTAACTATAGCAACATGAAGATGGCTGTCGTGTTGGATGTGGCACTGCGCAGTCTGGTGCTACCATATACAGAATTTTCGTTGCAAATGGTTACTCAGGGATCTGTGCTGGGAACATCATTGTTTATTTCCTGAGGGTGCCACTAGCGAGGAATTTCCCGAAGATGACGAACCTCCATAAGCGGCTGGGTCTATCAGGTCATCATCCGGATGTTCCCAAGGCAAGCTGAAACGGGAACAAACTAATGGTGAAAGCCATGCTGAGGGGAGGGGGATGTAAGATCAGAGGCTACGTGAGTGAGGGACCTCCTAGCGCAAACACCTGGATTCCCTTTGTCCCTTTTGGAATACAAAGTGTTTGTATAGTTCTTAGATGGTGGATGACAATGAGAGAGACAGAAATAACTCATAAGGCAATGAAGTTGTAGGTCTAATAACATCTGACTGTGATCAAATTGCTTATAATAATAGTAATAATGACAACATGAACTCAAGAACAATAACTTTAAACGTTAACTGAATGACATTTAACAAAATGTGTGTTCAAATGTCAAAATATTAAAAACTAGATTATAAAAATTACTGATCTTGGGAGCTGCAACCAGGCGTCTCCATCACGGGTCTAATAGGGCATGAGTACGGGCGCAACATATGTGCATACCTGCAAAATTAATTACAGAGACACATATAAGTAAATTCAGTTGTAGCGGAACTTATGTATTAGCAAAGGACTGGGGACAGCCAAAGAAACTTTTAATTACTAAAACATTTTCATGGAAACATGGCCTTCAGCTTCCAACACCTGTTCCAAATGTAACAGAAACACCAAATATAAGCCCTGTTGCTATGCAGCACATTCTAAAATGTCACACAAAGTACTTTTACTTACCTCGTAATTGTCTTCACTCCGGTTGAAGATACTGTCTCGTATCTGACTGGACACTATAGAGCCGACTGGTCGTCATGGTGGGGGGCGCGGCATCTGGTATTTCTTCGCCATCATGCCCTGTAGGATGAAGCACAAATGTTAGTGACATGGACCAGACTGTTGATTGCAGAGTTAAAGTATAAGGAGGTAGAAGGGAGAATGCTTCGACGTAAAAGACCCTTCAATCACGGAGGAAGTACAAGGGATTGAATTGCAGTCTTCTGCTTGGATATAAACTTTGGACTGCAGTTACAAGGAACTTTGGGGACATCC